GAGAGAGGCAGGGAGGGAGGAGTGCACCTCCAGTCCCGTGCTGACACTGTGCCTTGGTATCCCCACCTTCTGTAAGGATTGAAAACATAAAGAGCGAATGAGCTGAGCCTCCCATTACCTAGCAACAGCGGTGGCAGCTGGTTTACAAGTTCAAATCCTGCCTGGGCAATTTACAGACACCTTGCCTCAAAATAACACGAACCAAAAAACAAGAGCTAAGGATGCAGCTCATCAGTAGAGCACCCCAGGTTTAATCCCTAGTAATCTCCCCAAAAATCAGAGAGAGACATCATGTCCAGAGCCAAATCAAAAGGAACACTTTTCCAGAATCTAATAGATTTGCAGTTCGAGAAATACTACATTGGTCAGTGTGAACTCTCCAGTAGATAAAATTTATGCTCACCTGGTTTGAGTCAGTTTCTGGCTTCTGAATTTAGGTCAGTCCTGTTCACCTAAAAGAAAGATCATTTTCATCAAAAAGCCTTGGTCCTGCACGGGCACCTGGCAGGAGAATTCACTGGGCTTGCGTTTTCCCAATCTGCACATCTATGCTGTGTCTGAATTAAACACTGGCTACTTCATTTTCATCTCGTGCATGGTTTTTTGGTGTTTGGGTGATAAGAACAGCCTTTGCGTGGAATTGTGTGAGTTCATACACGTACGCTGCTTAACACCAAGCCTGGGAGAGAGAAAGTGTGCGGTGCCAGAGGTGATGCCCTGTGTCACAGTCAGCATTGTAGTGGAAAATGACAGCCTTGAGAGGCTCAGTAAAACCGAGCAAACAGAAACACTCAAAAGTCAACATGCCAAAGTCAACAGAGTTGGTGGTGAAAACAATTCGAGCCAAAGTCTGAGTTGCCCAAGGTCTAAGAGCCAGGACTGTCTGTGCTCCGGGTCCCCACAAGGTGCTCTTGGTTCAGAATAACAAGACCCAGAGGGCCCAGGCCTGGGTTGATTCTGCACACTCAGCCTGCCTTTTCCCAGGAGAATGCATCAGTATCATACCTGGGCACAGGAAAAGCTGAAGCCGCTCCTGGACGCTACGACGACGTAGAGAAATGAGCTTCCCGAAACATCAGGGGATTGCTGCACGGGGAGGAGAGACTGCGGAAAAGGGCTCCCCTTGGCCAAAAGGTGGCGATTTGACCTTCAAAAACAGAAATTGTGGGCCAGGGATTTAGCTCAGTGGCATAAGGGCCTGCCCAGCAAGTGAGAGGTCTAGAGTTTGACTCCCAGTACCAAAAATTTTTTTAAAAATTTAAAAAAGGAAAGTGTGATTATAGTTAAATAGGACAAACAGAATTTCGTAAAAGCTTTAATTCCACAATGGCCAGCATCATTCAGAATCTAACAGTAAGGTTCAAATGTCAAAAGTTAGTGGTAATCAAACGGTAGCTTCACTGATTTTAACAAAGTGACTGAGCCATGGTTCCCGCTGTCGCCCACATTGTCATTCACCCACCACGTGGGATCCCCTTGTTTCCTGCACTCCAAAGAGGGTGAGCAGGAAGTAGATTCCAGACAAGGTGGAAATTGTCCCCCGAAGGAAGTGGCCCTGTGGGGTTACACACATCCCCACAGGATCCTGCACACTGTTCCATTTGCAAGCTGCCAGGAGGAGGAAGAGAAGCACTGGGCAACTCAGCTCCTCTCCCAGGAGATAAAGCCCAGAGCACGTGGATTTAAACGAGCTTAGGGAAGACGGATGTGGGGACCACACTGCTGACACAGCAGACTGTGTGAACCACGTGCCTGCACCTTGTTCAAACCTCACAGCAGCAATACATGAGAAAGCTCGCTGCTCTGTTGCACAGGGGGAGAAACTGAGGCTGAGAGCCCCTCCCCCTAAGCCCAAGCTGCCCATCACACATGCTCAGAAAGAGGCCAATACACCTGGCCCTGTGCCTTTGGGAAGCAGCAGGAGCACAGCCCCTGGGGAGGTGGAGCCTTTGGGTAAATGACAGCTTGGGTCTCAGGAGCCCCCCGGGTACAGTGCTGCTCCCCTCGGCAGGGGCCCCACACAGCAAGTCTCCTGCTCAGATGCCAGGACCTACCGCGAAGGCTCTCTGTGCCCATCCCTATGAGTCACGTGTAGTCCGGTGGCAGGGCCACCGTGTGCTGGAAGAGTTTCTCTGCTGTCACCTCACGTGCTCTTCTTCCCTGCCCTGGTGCAAGTGGCTATTCTAAGCCCTACTTCACAGGCAAGGAACCTGAGGCACAGGGCAGTTATGTGGCTTGAGATGTCACAGAAGGAGTGGTGGAGGTGAGGCTTGAGCCCAGACCCTTAGTTTCAGCCCCAAACCCACACTGTCCTCCACGGGGACCTGCAGTCTGGGTGGGGCCATGGATACCCACACCCTCCCGGGAGCTCTGCAGGTCAGCTGCCCCGAGGTCCACCCCTGCAGCCTCCTGTCCTGGGTCCTGGATCTGCTAGCTCAGGACCTGTCAAATGCCCTGTCCCCACCCCTTCCCTGTTGCAGACTCCAGGTCTCCCTGTGGAGTTGCCCTCCAGCCCACATCACAGGGCGCCTATCTTGAGGCCCAGGTACATCTTATGACACATCTTACTGCTAGGGACTCAGCACAGATGATGCAATAGATAAGTCCAGAAACATCAGCAGACAAGACTGTCCCTGCTGGGTCCTGGCCTGTGGGTCAGTGTCCTGGAAAGCAACCCAGCCACACCCCACCCTGGAGATTCTACTCAACCCTTCTTCCTAGGCCTTGTTTCCTGACAGATGAAGGCTGAGCATGGAGCCCCAAATCAAATGCTCAAGGCGCCCAATCCTGAGCCTCTTGACTGCCTCAGTTGTTCCTACTCTGGGCCATTCCCCATTCCCCCTCCAAATGCCCAGGCACCCCTTGGCACCCCTGCCAGGCTTGTGACACATGCCACCCAGTACTCATGGACCCTCTATAGTCTCAGGGGCTCCACTGGGCACTTCAGGGTAGTTCTATCCTCCTCCCTCTGCACCTGGCCCAGGAAACATGCCAAGGCGCTGGTGCCCATCGGGTTCCATGCCAGGAGGGAGAGGCTGACAATCCCAGTAGTCCTGAGTGAGTGCAATGCTCCTCTTCTGTGAGCTAGACAATGGCTCCTCTTTGGGGATGGTGTGGGTGATGGCCTGCGTTACCCAGCCTGGACAGAGCAGGTCCATAGGGACACATAGGACTGCCTGAGCCAGGAAGGGCCAGACTGGCATCTGCCGGACAAGAGGTAAGACCCTTTCCTGTCCAAGCCTTTGCCTTCCTCTCGGACCCAGGACCACTGCCAGCCAGGACTCCCCTCCTCTAGACCGAGCCCCAAACACTGGGAGCTTGGGGTGCAGGCACCAGTCTGTGTGCTGCAACCTGAGAGCTGACCAAGGAACTAGGCAGCCATCGCCATAGGAGACACACCTGCTCCAGGGTCACCAGGATCCCGGGCAGAGGGGCATTGGGCAAGAAGGGCCTCAGGCTGCCTGCCTACCTAAAGAGTCTACAATTGAGAAGATAGGGTACCTGCCACTGCCCACTCTGTGGAGCAGACAGGACAAACAGCTGGCTGCCATGGACTTCACTGTGCATATGGAGAACCAGAGGCCCAGAGAGGGCAATACATGCCCAGGGCTACCGAGGGCTGGCCTCCCCAAGGCGACAGCCCGGCTCTCCCAGCTGGGACTGGATGTAAACCAGCCAGCTCCTGGGGGAGGGGTCCATGCGGTGCCAGGGAACAGACCAGGACCCTGAAGCCAGGTGATGTGGGGGAGGGGAGTGGGGGAGGGAAGCATGAACAGGTTCCACTTCTTGTATTGGTCACCAAGGGACTGAAGGAGGCATTGCTGGAAGCTCCCCGGCCACCGCAAGCCCACCCGAGTGACCTGACGTGGGGCACAGCTCTGACAGAGCTGGCCGGGCACTCTGGGCCCAGGCTCTGCTACTGGTGCATCTCATCCTGCAGCAGCCAAACAAGGCATGACTGTCACGGTCCCCACCATATGGACAGAGAGCCAGACCCACAGCCTCACTGATTGACTGTGCTCCCTAGTCTGAGCCTAGGCACTAGAGTCCAATGGGTCCCTCATCCTGCAGAGCCCCAGGGTGGGGGTCGCAGACAAAGCCATCCACCAGTCACTCAGCAGGGAGCCCCTGGTGCAGTCTGGGTACCCTGCTATCACAGGGTGCACAGGGGTGTCAAGGGGAGACTTGAGCACTGAAATCAAGTGGGGCCCTTTTAGCCAGCCCGGCACCCCTACCACACAGCTGGCTGTAGCTGTACCCCACGGCTTGCATCCCCTGGGCAAGGCTGCATTCCCAAGGAGACTTCAGGTGGCCTGAGGAGAAAAGTCCCAGGACCAGCCAGAGGGAGCCTCCTGCCACTCAGAGAAGCCGGGTGCAACCAACAGAGGGCTGGACAGAGGCAAAGACAGGATCTGCTGTGTGCCTGGCCTTCCCAAGGACTTTCTCAAGGGACACCCTACCCTCTGTGATGCAGACAAACACCCTTCCTGGTTCAGAGAGGGGACAGTGTCTGCCTGAGACAGCACAGCTTCCCTCCCCATCCGGCCTGTCCCAGAGTCCCCTGCGCCAGCCTGCTGCAGTTCTGTCTCGTTCTGCATTTCCCTGGAGAGCGAATCCAGAGCACTTGGGTGTCTAAAGCTGGGTGGCTCCCTGTGGAAGACCAGACTCCCTGCATTGGGGCTTAGTTTCCCCCCCAGTCAGACGGGATCATAGCCCACTGGGTCTTTCCCAGGGTGGGAGAGAGTCCGCAGCAAGGATCTCCAGGCAGCTGGCTCAGGAAATGGTGGATCTGCTTCCAGTGGGGCAGCCACCATGGATGCCCCAGAGAGCATGCAGGGCCAGCAGAGTGGCACTGGCCCAGATGCTGGCTGACTCAGGCCAGCCACCCACCTCGGGGACAGGATGGCCTCAGTCACACTGGCTGTGTTGTCGGGAAGAACGGGTGGCAGGCGGCGTGGGTGGGAGCTCGGAGCAGGGCCATGAACTTAGGCCCTGTCTGTTTGCTCTCCACTAATGAGCAGGCCACCTTGGTTAATATTCACTAGCCGCTTCCTGGTGCCCCTCTGCATCGCTACTTAAAGATGGACCAGGACAGGGCTCTGGTCCTCAGCCTGCATCTCTGCCGCTGGGCCTGGAACCGAGTTGTAAGTGTGCCTTTCCCTGGGTGGGACGCTGGGGCCCCGAGGGTCTCTCCCATGCAGACTGGGCCCTGCCTGCCTCCTTGGTGAGGAGGAGAGGAGAGAGGGGTCCCGGGGAGCCAAGGTACAGCCACAGTGGTGACCGGAGGGAAGTTCCGCGTGCCGTGTCCACCAGGGCCTTTCCTGCCCTCAGCCTCCCCCTTCCTGCTGCCTGGATCCAGCCTCTCCCTTCAGAGGATGAGGAAGGAGGCCCCTCCTCCTCCTAATGCCTCGGGGCTCCCTGTGCACCCTGGGGGTGGGAATCCCCCACCGAGGGCACTGCCAGGGGTCCTTGGAGCTGATATCCTGTGTGACCCTTGGGCTGAGCCCAGCTGTCTCTGGGTCCAGGGCACAGGCTGGCATAGCTGAGCCGCCTCACAGTGCCCTTGGAGGTGGTCGCTATGGTTACCACCATTTTACACAGGAGATGGATGGGAACAGAGAGGTCTGAACCCCACTCTGAACCCCGCACAGCCAACGACACAGACCTGGGGTCTCAGCCTGGCTGTGGAGCAGGAGGTTGGGCTGCCCAAGGTACCCCCTGCCCGAGGCTCTGTGACAGGGAGTTGCTCCACTGCTCTGCCCTGTGAGCCCAACAAGAAGACCTTTGCCCTCCAACCTTGATCTCTGCGGAGGGAGAAGAACTTGGCTTTGCTCCTAATGTGCTTTGGAGATGAGAATGGAAAGATGCCCCTGGCCAAGGCAGCCTGGGTCCCACACCCAGCTGCACAGAGACCCCAGCATGGTCAGAACCAGCTGGGGCTTCTATGGCATCTGCTTCCAGGCACTTCTTGAAACTTTGTGCATATTAGTTCACACAGTCACTCTGTGAAGCTGTACAGAGGCACCCTCTCACCTCCAGGAAACTGAGGTTCAGAGAGGCTGTATAATTTGCTCAAGGTCACACTGTGAATAGCGAATTGGATTCAGCAACCTGGACCCAGAGCCCCTAATTTTAGCCACCAAGTTGTTGCCTCTCTTCATGCCAGGTCACCTCTGAGGTATCCTGACCCCAAGTGTGAATGAACCTAGAGAAGGATCAATTGCCCAGTTCTGAGAAGAAGAGTTAGTGCCTACTTCTGTAGACAGCTGGCTCTGTAATTTTTAGTAAGAGGCTTACCTGGTCAGGGCCTAAATTTTTCCATCTGTAAATTGGGACTAATGCTACTCTCCACCTCACCAGATAAATGAAAAGGACGCTTAGATGAGGCTGCATAGATTGGGCATAGTGCTTAATAAATCCACAGTGAGGGTCACACTGATGCTGAGGTTCACTTAGCAAGGGATCAGGCAGCAGGCAGTACAAGAGGACACAGAGAAAGTAGGGGCATTTGCCAGCCCTGGAATAGTTCCCTGCTGAGCAGCACTCCCTTCTCTGGCCCCCAGCAATGCAACAACTGGTCAGAAAGACACTTCATATCTACAGGTCCCCAGGAGGGCTCCCAGCCCTGCCAGCGCCCCACCACCCTCACTGCTGGTGCTGTGCCTCTGTCTGCAAAGGCTTTCCTCTCCAGTGAGGCACCTGGAGGTGAAGTCACCGGCAAAGGCCACCTGCAGGGAAGGCCAGGACTGGCTCATGCCTGGCCTCAGCAGCTCGTGACCTTACCTTACGCTGGGCCACCTCCCAGAACGGGGGTTCTTGGCCACTCATTTTATGCTCCTGGGTGGAAATAGTGGGAGCTGAGACCTGGGGTGACCTGCCGCTGTGCCTCCTGCCTCACAAAGGCTGCTCCCACCCGCCCTGGGTTCCACCCTGCCCCTGTTCCTTTCTTGATCCCTCAGCGGGAAGCTGGGTCTCTGCATCTCCATGGCCACTCTCTCCTCTCAGCTCTAGGCTTAGGGTGCCGGGAGAACAGACTGAGGTACAAAACGAGCCCCAGAGGATACTGGGGATCAAGGCCAGGCTCAGCCCTGATGTCCTTGGAGCCTGAGCCCCTAGGCTGTGACCCGAGTGATAGAAAAATCCAGGCCCATTGCAGGGAGTTGCACTTTGGGAGCCGCAGACCGGTGGTTTGTCACCTGCATGTGCATGGAGCACAGGGTGCTCTGTGGGGAGGCAGCTCACTGCTGCTCTGGGTGACACCGACCCTGATTGCCTCTGCACTCTGGGGGTTCAGCCCTTTGGAAAGTGAGGTCCCCGTGACAGCGCAGCCACAGGTGCCACTTGAGGCCAACAGGTAGCAGCAGTGCTGTCCGCAGGCTCTGACCCCAAGGCCACTCAGCACAGTTCACATCCCCGCCCTGCGGTGTCCCCCTGATCCCTGTGAGGATGGGGGATTTCCATGGGGCTGCCCCAAGCTCCAGTCGGAAAGAAACGCAAGGTCTAAGGGGGATGGGAACACGCTGTTTTCAGGTCTACACACCGGCTAGGGGGCGAAAAGTGGAAACCCGTGACAGCCCTCTCTCCCTCTCTCTCTCTCCCTCACCTCTCTCTCTCATTCTCTCCTTCTCCCTTTCTCTCCTTCTCTCTTTCCCTCTCTGATATACAAAGCCTAGCGGTAGAGTTTGGTACAACATGACTTTTTCCCAATGACTTTTTTTTCCATCTAATGCCGATGAAACTCCCAAGAGCTCCAGAGTCCGAGTGAAACTCAGGGCCTCTTAGGCCCAGCCTTTCCTTTCCCCCTCAAGGTTTCAAATCCCCATTTCCCAGACACCTTTCTTTCTGTGCTGTAGTAAGGTGGTGGTTGTAGTTAAGGAGCCAATCAATAGCTAACTGTGCAACTCCAGGCACATTGTCTGCAACTCGTGCCTCAGTTTCCCCATATGTAAAGAAGACAAGTGCTGCCGACCAGTGGCTCCTGGCCGGACAGGTGTGGGGTCGAGGCAGCCTTGTGGGGAAGGCAGGCTCTGGGTTGCTGTGGGTGCTGGCGGCTGTGGCCACCTCCGGACGGCCACCCTCACTGGTTCGGCTGCAGATCTTGCTACTCCGTCATCTCCCCCGGCCAGGAACCACGTAACCCGCAGCTGCCTGTCACCTGCAGGCTTTGGGTCTGTGACACCTGCAGTGACTTCCCTCCACCGACACCCCAGAGACCCTCTGTGTCTGTAGCTATTTCACGGAACCCTCCTGCAACACCACTTTACAGATGGGGCCCATTTGTGATCTAACACTTTTGTCCCGAGCACTTTCCTACGCTGGACCGGAACTCACGTCTGTCTGAGCAATAGTTTTCCACCTCTGCCTCGCCACATTCATCCTCATTCTAAAGGAGCAATGGGCCATCTCTGTCCTCCCCAGAGTCTGGCCATGAGAGGAGCGAGATGGTGGGGCATTGATGGCAGGGGCCCCAGCCCAGACTCAGCTGGATCACAGCAGAACAGCACAGCCAGCCCACAGGAAAAGCCTCCAGGCTGGAAGGCCTGGTGAGGGAGGGTGGAGCGGCCCTGGGACCTTATACAGCTCCCAGGCCTCAGCCTGGTTCCCTCCCTGCTTCCTTGGGCACCTGGGTTCCCAGCTGTTAAACAACAGAGTTGGATGGATGCCCTCTAGGGGCTGTCCTGGCTCAAAGCAATGCTTGAGTCTGATCTTTCTGGACTACCCAGGAAATGCCAATCCCGTCCACCTCTGCTTTGGTCAGTGTCTCCGAAGGCAATTTGGGATGAAAGCAGAGCTGTCAAGGACACGGGCTCAGCACCAGACAGGCTGCACTGTGACTCTGCCCCGTCACTGAGTTGCAGACCTGGGCTGCGGGGCATCCCTGGGGTAAGCACAGGAATGTGGCCCTTTGCTCACAGCGCTGTTACAAGCAGGGAAGAGATGCAGTCATGTGAGGACCGAGCTTAGCGAAAGGGTATCACTGCGACCCATCGCAGCTTTTCTGATTTTTTAAATGAGGGCAGGGTAGGGAAGTGCTTGGGACGGGCTGGACACATTGCGGCCACTGCTGCACGGTGTCAGTCTGTGGCCATGGGCAATGTGACAGGTCCTAATGCAGGGCTCCTGTCCCCTTTCTCTGTCCTGCAGGACAATGCCGTCCGCTATTCCCCGAGGCCTCCTGCTCCTGGCAGGCCTGTGCTGCTTGGTGTTTGGCATCATGGCTGAGGATGCTCAGGTGGCACAAGGACCCAGCCAACAAATCCCCCGGAGCCTGGCCCACTTTGCTCACAGCATGTACCGGGTGCTGACTCAGCAGTCCAACACCAGTAACATCTTCTTCTCCCCCGTGAGCATTGCCACGGCCTTGGCCATGGTCTCCCTGGGAGCCAAAGGGGACACTCACACGCAGATCCTGTGGGGCCTGGAGTTCAACCTCACCGAGATAGCTGAGGCTGACATCCACGATGGCTTCCAGAACCTTCTCCACACCCTCAACAGGCCCCACAGCGAGCACGAGCTGACCACTGGCAACGGCCTCTTTCTCGACCAGAATCTGAAGCTCAAGGAGAAGTTCTCGGAGGACGTCAAGACCCTTTACCACGCAGAAGCCTTCCCCACCAACTTCAGCAACCCCAAAGAGGCCGAGAAACAGATCAACGCCTACGTGGAGAAGGGAACCCAAGGGAAAATTGTGGATTTGGTGAAAGACTTGAGCGCAGACACAGTTCTTGCCCTGGTGAATTACATTTTCTTTAGAGGTAAGTTGGCACAAGTGGCCTAAACTGAGCTAGACTTTATCACCCTAATGCTCACTGGGAATCCTTAAGAGGGATATAGTCCCAGCACCCTGGGAGGCTGAAGCAGGAGGATTGCAAATGGGAACCCAGCTCAGGCAATTTGAGATCCGGTCTGAAAATTAAATTAAGTTACAGGTGGAGACATAACTCAGGGCAAAGACCCTGGGCTCAATCCCCATTACCACAAAAAAAAAAAACTTGTTTTTAAATCCACCACGCATTAGTCTTCACATTGGAGAGGGCACTCTACCTCTTTGAAGTGGGACTGTCTGGTCTTTTCATGGACAGAACAATACCATTGTTGTCAGGTTTTGAAAGTGGATACCAAGTCACATTACACAGGGACATGGACTTAGAATGCATAGCTGATCCACTAATCCTCAGCCTACCCTCCCACTTCTGAGCCATGGGGGGCCAGGACCCCATGGGCCCCAGGGAAACAGCCTAGGGAGGAAAGTAAGGCTCCAGGCCAGGTCCTCATTCCTGGCCATTCTAGGAGAGCAGAGCACCCAGGCCATGGTGCTTAGGTCCCAGCTCTGCTGCCACTTGAGACAATTCCTGTCCACTCGCCAGTCTCACCACCTCCTCCTGTCCAACAAGAAAGGTGGGCTTGGGTCCCAGAGTCACCTGCACATGCCAACAGCCTGAAAGCCAGGACACACTAGTACAGCAGAGGGCGCCACTGTACTGCATATGCGGGTCCAGGCAAAGGAGCAGGGTAAACCCAGAAAGTCCTGATTGGGACTATGGGGCACCCTGGATGAGGAGTCACAAAAATGACTGCTACCCCCAATTTTAACTTGTAATCTCCAAGCCAACCTTAAATATATAATCCAAGCAAAAATGCTTGCTAGGTGCCCTCAGGCTGGTCCCTTGCTCACCTAGCCTGAAGACTCCAGGGCCCCCTGGTCTGGAGGTACCCTCCCTCTGCCCTGCAGTCCCAGTTACAGTCGCATGCAGCCCCTTTTGACCTCCATTCCACCCCTGGGTACTGCTACTGTCCCCTCTCCAGGCAAATGGGAGAAACCCTTTGACGTTAAGCATACCACGCAAGAGGACTTCCTCGTGGACATGAATACCACTGTGAATGTGCCCATGATGAAGCGGCAGGGCATGTACAAAGCGTTTCACTGCAGCACCATCCAGAGCTGGGTGCTGCTCCTGGACTACGAGGGCAATGTCACCACTCTCTTCCTCCTGCCAGACAAGGGCAAAATGCAGCACCTGGAGGAAACACTCACCCCGGAGCTCATCTTCAAGTTCGCGCGAAAGACAGAGAGAATGTGAGTTTCCAGCCAGGGAGCATACAGAGCACACAAGCTCTGAGCCGGTTTAGAACCCACTTGGCCACCCTGACCAGTAGCCAGGGACAGTGGGTGGCCCACATCATTTGGGCCTCAGCTCCCCGAAATGACCTGGGGCTTTCAAAAGACAAAATAGCAGCGCTTTGTTCCATTAGCACCGGCCAGGCTCTGAAAGGGACGATGGGCAGAGTGAGGAAGCACAGGGCTTGCTGAGGGGTAGGGGTGAACTTCCCAGAATGCACAGTCTCCTCCCCACACCCAGGGCCTGGGGTGGGGACAGCAGCACCATGGGTCATGGCAGAACTCAGTAGTACCAGGCGGAGGTGGCGGCCAAGGGTGGAATCCAGGCTGGGCTGTGCTTGGTTAGAGAGGGGATGGGCCCAGATGGGAAAGGCCACCACGGGACAGTCCAGGGAGCTTTGCAGAGTGCGCCTCTTCTCTGTCACTTAGTGTGGTTTACCGGGTCCCCAGAGCCCGTAGTCCCCCCAAAGGACTGCAGAGAAGCACAAGTTGGTACATCATTAACTGAGCCAGTGCTCTGTGGCACGTTTTCATGGAGGTCACTGTAAACAGATGTGGAAATGTACCTGAGGCTAAGAGTGAATGTGCAGTGTCACTACAGTGTCATCCTGACTTTCTCAGCGTACCTATGTCCAGGCTGAGACCAGAAGTCCGGGCTGCTCCTGGAGCTGGTCGCCAGCCCCGGGCCTTCTGCTCCATAAGTGCAGACCCCATGGGGCCTCACCTATGCCCACTGGACACTAGAGCTGGGTCTTCAGCCTCGTTAGGTCTGTCTTGTCTCAGCCTCGGCCCCAGTGACCTATGCTCCCCTGGGAGTTAGGCCACAGAATGTCCCTGGCTGGGGGAGAGGGGTGACCAAACTCTGCAGGGCAGGATGACACCTGCTCCCAGGAGAGCAGCCTGCAACTGCCCCCAGGACTTCAAAGAGGTGGTGGCATCTCAGAGGCTGCCCGGACACATGGTCCCCATGATGTTAATGTTGTCTGTCCCCAGGACAGAAGAAGATGAAACTCCAACAACTCAAGGCAGTGTCCCATCCTGCTGTGCAGGGACAGGACACTAACAGGAGACAGGAGGGGAGGGAAACACTGTCACAAGCTGTGGTCTTCACGGAGCGTGATCGATGCTGGGAATCACATTCATTCACCATTTCATGCCAGGTTTGCCAATGTGCATCTCCCCAAACTGTCCATTTCTGGAACCTACGACCTGAAGGAGGTCCTGGGCCACTTGGGCATCACCAATGTCTTCAGTGGTGCTGCCGACCTCTCTGGGATCACAGAGGACATGCCCCTGAAAATCTCCAAGGTGAGGTCACATGATGGTGATGTCCTAGTATCTGAAGGGCAGAATGCGGTGTAGGACACAAGTTGACAGGAGAATGAGGAAGGGAATCCAGGACACCCACCAGGTCCAGCTCTTCCGCAGGAAACAGGATTCACTGGACAAATCAGGGTAAGGCAAGAGAGCTGGGGAGGTGGCTTCTCGTGCTGCCACATTGGTAGGGACCTCTGTTCAGGTGCCTTCCCAACCCTCAGTCTCCGTTTCTCTTAGGACCTTCAGGGTCCTGGGTTCAATTCACCCACATTCATATGGAGAGGCTTGGCCTCAGGCAACACACTGGGCGTTCTGGAATCTTCCATGTGTGAGATTGAGAGCTACCGGTGACCCAGCAGGTGTGTTTGAATGAGCTCAGCCAAAGGTGCCACCAGTTCAGGGAAATCAAAGGTGACCAGGAACAGGCACAGAGCAGTGCGGGCTGTGTGCTCAAGAGGTCTGAGCAGGAGAGTCACCAGCAGAGTCCTTGTCCTGGAGCTCACTGCCACACACTGGAATGAGCAGCTGTGTGGAGAGGCACAGCCTCAATGCGACCTTCTCCTCCTGAGCAGGAGGGCTGTATTCAGGGTGTGACAGATGGTGGTTAGGACGGGAGCTAAGAGGTCAGCGGGCCAGGTCAGGCAAAGACAGAGACAGGGGAAAGGCTTCGGGTGACCCTGCGGGGAGAGGGCTTCGTACATGGCAGGACCATCCAGTAGGAGAAGGACTCCTGTGAGGCCTTGCTGGGAAAAGGCTCCCCGCCGGCCTTGCTGCAGCCTGAGTGGGGACAGCCCAGCCTCAGCGCCTGCCTCTGCCTCTCTCCCCTGCAGGGCTTGCACAAGGCATTGCTGACCATCGACGAGAAGGGGACGGAGGCCGCGGGGGCCACAGAGCTGGAGATCACGCCCCATTCTGTGCCACAAGACCTGTTCTTCAACAAGCCCTTCCTCTTTCTCATCATCGATCATTCCACCGACACGCCCCTCTTCGTGGGGAAGGTGATGGATCCCACAAAGAAGTAACTGCTCTCGGGCTTAAGTCCCCAGCCAGCCCCATCTCCCCTCGCCCTGGTGATATTAAACAATATGAATACCACCTCCCTGTGTCTCAGTCTCCCTTTGCACCCTGAGGTTCTGAGAGAACCAGGTCGTGGGGTGTCTTGGTGTCCTGCACCCAGAGGTTTGAGGTTTTGTGCTGGGAAGGGTGACTGTGGCTACGGCCGCACCCCACAGGCCCTGGGCCCCTCTGCCCCTGTGGGAAGCCGCCTATGATGGCGCCCATTTCCTGCTTCCGGGTTCTTCCCGGCCTGAACAAGCCCGCCAAATTGTCATGTCTGCCCAGTTACCCGTGACACTAGCCTATCAGCTTGTTAGACGCGCTTCTCTGTGATTGGATACTGCTTCCCCTTATAAGAGGTTGTTCCTGCCCCCAATGGGCAGAAGAGGAACCGACGCTGAGGGTGGCGGACCTTGTTAGGTCCGGTTGGCTGTACGCAATAAAGTTTGAGAGCTGATCCTGCTCGAGTTTGGTCTCCTGTCTCCCGCGGCTCCGGTCATCTGGTGGCCCGTACGGGGAAGGTTCAGCGACGCGCGGGCGCGACTGCTGTCACCTGCGGTACGATGGAGAACCCGGTCCAATACCAACGGAAGGCCCCGTGCGCCTCTTCTCTTCACCCTGATTAGCTACGTGAGATACAGCGGTTCCCGGGACAGGTGAGTACTGGATCGCCTGGGTTGGGTGGACGCACCTAACAGATTTTGAGCGCCACACGGGTGGACGCCGGTCTTTTTTTTTTCTTTTCCCTTGCATTTGTTTCACTTTTGCTTCGCCATTATGGGCAACGCTGCTCGCAAACCCCTCGCTGACTCCCTAAGAGTCCTGCTGCGGACCCGAGGCATCTACATAAACCGGGTCACCCTTTCAAGATTTCTGGATAGTGTTAATGAAATTGCCCCCTGGTTTTGGCCCACGGGCTCTCTAACCCTCCCGTCATGGGAGAAGTTAGGAGGGGATCTTAGATGCGCCCGAGAAGAGGGACGCTTGGATCCCATGGTTTTACCCCTGTGGGAACTGATTAGGGCTTGTCTGACGGACGAACAAACCCCCGGGCTTTGCTCAGCCCGACAGGCTCTTGACAAAGCTCGATCCGAGTGCTCGGAGGAGCCCGAAGACACACCTGACTTTGGGCCTCCAGAGAAACACAAGGGCTCCGATTCTGATTTGGATTCGGAGGGCTCAGAAGAGGAGGTCGTCTTTGCTAAGCATGACCCTCCTACACCGTTAAAAGAGGAACTTAGGGCTCGGGAAGATAAAAAGGGGAACCAAACACCACCCTGCCCGAGCTACTCCGCTTTGCGGGAGGAACTTAGCTCCTTGGCAAGTTCGCGACCCACGATCGCCCCCTTCAGGGCGCCAGGCCCCACTGCACCGCCGTGGCCGGAAGAGGAGTTGTTCCCTGGGCTGCCACCTCCACCCGTGGCCGCCAGAGGGCGCCCACAACCTATGGCACCGCCCTGGTTAGAGGGAGAGCTACTTCCTGGGTTGCCTTCTGCACCCCCATCTGGGGAGGGAGGAGGACGTTCCTTCCACCAGAGGGTATGGTCGCGGCTTCCCTTTGAGTGTTCCGGTCTCCATGCATTCCCGGTACAAGTAGGAGGCAGGGGAGGAGGAGGATATTATGAGCCCTTAGAAATTAAACAACTTAAAGCTATCAAGGACGCAGTTTCAGCTTATGGGCCCAATGCGCCATTTACCATGGCGCTTTTAGAGGCATTGGCAGGTCTGTGTGATCTCTTCACCTCAACAATCTATTGGTGTTAACCCGAGAGGACTGCGCCCCAATCATATTTGGCAAACACACATCCCAGAATTCGGAAAAATATGTACATGTTTCGGTTGACACCGCTTCTCAGGTTATGTTTGCTTCGGCAGAACCTGGAGAAAGGGCCACCCATGCTATTAATCATTGTCTTGCAGCCTGGGCTGCTTGGGGAAAGCCCAATATACTAAAAACAGACAATGGTCCTGCTTACACCAGCAAAACTTTTGTAACATTTTGTCAACAAATGGAGGTCACTCTTAAACATGGCATTCCTTACAACCCCCAAGGACAAGGCATCATTGAGCGATCCCATCGGACACTCAAGGGTGTCTTACAAAAACAAAAGGAGGGAATAGGCCATGGCCTAACGCCCAAAGGAAGAATATCATTGGCACTCTTTACCATAAATTTTTTAAACCTTAATCACAATAATCATTCCCCTGCCATGGAGCACAATAATCCGTCCCCAACCGACAAAGGGCTGGTTAGATGGAAAGATGTCCTTACAGGACAATGGATGGGCCCGGATCCAGTGGTTAGCTGGACCCGAGGTGCGGTTTGTGTCTTCCCACAGGAACCAGGCTGCGAACCGCTGTGGGTCCCGGAAAGATTGACGCGAGCAGTAAACTCCCCACCAGTTCCTGATAAAGCACAGGAGGATAAGCCCGCGGACACAAGTCAACTTGACCCTTCTGGGACCGACGCTCAGCGCCCGAGACCATCTACAAACTAAAATGTCTGGTTTGGAGCTTTTTCTGTTCTGTAGGTTCCTATTAATCACCCCTGTTCGCACAAATTTGACCAACACTGTTAAAAATATGACAGCTTGGCTGCAAGACACCTACCTACCTAAGTTTCACAATTTGTCCCTCATAGTCGGTCAGGAACTTGACAATATGGACGGTATCCAACTAGGTCCAGTCAGGGGTTCTCCTGGCCCAACCTGACTACTTGGATCCTGATTGCCGTGGCCATCCTAGTGGGGCTTGTGGTTATTAAATGCTTGTTAGATCGCCTCATACAAACTCAGCAGCAGGTTAAGATCACAGCTATGGCAGCCATGCAAATGGCAGCAGGTGGCCCATCAGGCCAGCAGGCCGCCGCATATCTCCTTCACATTGCAGAACATCAGCTATAAGAGCTGAGTGGGCAAGCCAATGACGGGTAAGACGGGAAAAGCCCTCCCAGTCAACCTAAGACAGGCTCCACTCAGATATATATGGCCTATAAGGCCAGGGGTCCCTCCGGGAGTCAAATTATTGGCATTGAGATGCGAGACCAAGGGTACTGCAGTGCCATCCGCCCCAAAGGTTGGGGGGAAGGCAGGAATGAATGTCTATATGCATCCAGGTTCGGTTCACAAAAGCCTGGCCCTGCGAAAAAATGAACCACTCACCTTGAGCATGGTCCTGGCGCAAGGATATGCACAAAACAGGGTGATGCACAGCAGGGTATAGACCTCTACATTCTCTCATGCCTCAGCCTACAAGGTAGGCCCATTCCTAGGTGTCTAACAGCAACAAGGTCATAGACACCTTGGAGGGACCCACAGACCATCCTATTTTAATAAATAAAAAAGGGGGAGATGTGGGAAGCCGCCTATGATGGCGCCCATTTCCTGCTTCCGGGTTCTTCCCGGCCTGAACAAGCCCGCCAAATTGTCATGTCTGCCCAGTTACCCGTGACGCTAGCCTATCAGCTTGTTAGACGCGCTTCTCTGTGATTGGATACTGCTTCCCCTTATAAGAGGTTGTTCCTGCCCCCAACGGGCAGAAGAGGAACCGACGCTGAGGGTGGCGGACCTTGTTAGGTCCGGTTGGCTGTACGCAATAAAGTTTGAGAGCTGATCCTGCTCGAGTTTGGTCTCCTGTCTCCCGCGGCTCCGGTCATGCCCCCAAATCTCCAGGCCTGCCTGAAAATCAAGAGGGTGCCACGGAGCTCAGGTTCCAACCCCAGGGCCCAGGATCCAGCAAGTCTCATCAGCATCCCTGAGGGAATCCACCTGCCTAGCACACAACCCTCACCATCCACACGCTAGCGCCCTCTGCAGGCACAGTCACACCGTGCTGCTGCCCCTTTTGCTGCTCCCAGAGCCACTCTATTTGCACAGGTGTCCTGCTGCTGCATCTCCAGCCCACATGCGGCGAGAATGTGCCCTCCCTGTCCCAGTGTTCCGTTCTACTGGGAAGCCCTTCCTCCCCCTGGGCTGTCCTGGCACCGACCTCACCTCTCCTCTCTCCTCCGCTACCCAAGGAGCCTTGCCAGCCTCCTTGTGGAGCAGCGCCTTCTCCCCAGGAAGGGCTCTGGGTCCAGCCTCTGTCCCCTCTCAAAATCACCATGACCACCAGGCCCTTGTCCCTTCTGCTCCCAGGATGTGTGGCCATGGTGCTGCAGGAGGTCGTGACCTGGACTCCTGGGCTGAAGGGCAGGAAGCACTTTCAATTCCCAGCCTCCCCATCCCATTTATTTATAAGGAAATTTATTAACGTACAGGGTCAATTCATTCTACTCATTTATGCTAATTTGTTAATGCACAAGGGAAAAATCCACCAAAGGATGAGAGCAGTTCCTGGAAACAGAACTTGAGTGAAACTGAAATTTTACAAGTGTTTGGATGCAAACTGTATTGCTGGAAGAAATGCCAAGAAGTCAAAATAGAATTAATCATTGATTATCATGAAACTCTAGGTCAAAATTCAATAGCAAAACAGGAATTGAAAAAAGTGTGACTATGCCACTCCTGTGACTCCTAACCCTGCAAAACAGACAACCAAGGTTGGAACATTTGATCCCAGCCTACACAACATAGAAGGACCCTGACTAAAAAATGTTTTCTAACTTTTTAAAGGGCTGAGGGTGTGGTGAGCTATACCCTTGTAGTAAGCCAACCGCAAAACACAACAAAAACTAAAAGCAAAAGTGGCCAAGGATACCCAAGAAACAGAGGGTCTTTCCTATTAAACTACTGAACTATGGGATAAATGTTCCATGACACATAATTAAACAGAGACACATTTTCAGCTAGAAAGCTGTGATGTGTCATGACAGTGAGAAAACCTACAAAATACCAAACTATAAAATAACTACAAATAATACAGCTGTATCTCACTGACAGATAATATATCCAAGGTAGTATGGGCAAGAGTTACCGAATGCTTTCATTGTGAGCTGTCTCAATCATTACAAAGCTAGAAGAAAATAACCTACCGTCTTCACTCCTTTGGACCAAAATAAAGGAAAACGCGATCAAAATGGGATCTGCCCCGAATCTGAG